GGTGATAGCTCTGAAGGACACCCACACCTTAAACATTCTATCACGCTATACCGACCATAACTGGCAATAGAAACTCTTATGAGATCAGTTTGGGCCTTTAGATGATGCATCCTGACTCAGACTCTCTATTATCACCAAGCAGTCTTGTTGGTTGCGCAGCTTTTAACCGGCCACGGAAGAATGTCTGATACCTCATGTATTGACCACATTCACTCCAGACACCTCTCGTTAACGGGTACAAGTACTGACTCACTTTGATTAGTGCCGTTTGAAACACTTGGCCTAATATTCCAAACCCCTTCCTTTGTTGGTCAGTCACTTCGGTCCTTGGTTTTATTAATCTCAAGTTCTCCAGGACCTATGTGGGACGTATCGGATGAGACACCCTGCATTGTGCTTCTTTCGTTTCCATGGCCTTTTGGATTCATAAACCTCCCCAGTCATCGAGTATCTTGCTTCAGCCGGCACCTTGAACCTGTCTATTTGACTTGTCTTCGGAACTAGCATCACTGAAACACTAGAAAAGCTACAGTCCAGCTCAAAATCCAGTGACCTGGTGGGTATGGTGCGGCTACACATGCATAGCCTACAGCGGTATCAGCATCGTGAAACATCAAGTTGATCAGCTGAAGCCTAATCTACAGCTGTGCCCATAATTAGTGTGTTGGCCAATGTACAATCCAAATACACCCTCACAGATGTCAATGACGTGACCTTTCTTCTGAGTCGACCTACTAATGGCTCAGTCACCTTCACCATTAAATTTTTTATTTACCGTAGAACACACGTGACTGTTATAAGTTTTCCTATAAATCCTGACCTCATGACACGCATAGAAATAAGGCTGTTCTCTCCACGCCGTTTGTCAGGTCATAACATATGGTGAACTGATAACGAAGGGAATACCGGTTGACGATTTCTGCCCAGAGTAGATTTGGTACTTTCGCTTGGTAACAACTTCGGCCAGAGTCAATGTGGACGAACCGTGAACGGATGAACGGCACACGGTCGTTTTGCGCGGTTCCGAAAGTGTAAGGATGGTATCGTACAAGTGCGCACGCAGTCTTAGTTCGTAAGTGAACTAGAATGATAGGTAATTCATCCAAGATGATTCATCCAAAATGATGATGACACAACAACCTACCGTAGTTGCAGACTGACTTGTTGATGGAGGCACTGCTGCTAAGCATTGCCGATTGTTTGGGATTTTTTTCTGTTGCAGAGAAAAAGACTGTAGTCAAGGTAACTACGGTAAAAGCTCACTATTTCGGCGTACCCACTCAAATGGGCCGAGACTACCCATCCACAAGTTAATGTCACCTATAAACACACTAATGCGGTATGCAGTATGACGTGTCATAGAATCTGTCTGGAAATTTGGGCACTACAGTCTGGAGATCCGTAGAGAAAACAGAGAGATCAATCGATTGTCCTCAAGGTGCAGTCAAGGGACTGTAGCGGGGAGAGACTAGTAACAAATACTCAAACTTAATCAACCCAAACTCTGGCATTACATGTCGCTTTCGCGTCACCGGAAGTATCCAGTCGGAATCGGGCGATGTTGACGTCAACTCAACATCCTCGCTTGTATCTTTTATCCTTATTTCGGATCCATATATATAAAAGGAAGAAAAACCCAATGTGTAGACACTGAGCGTTGTCCATTGCGTCGGCGGTCAGAGACTGATGGTCGGCGTCGGTGTGAGCAAGGAGCTTTGACTATAGATGTATCAGAACCTTAAGTGATGTAGAATGGCGTCAGCAAATTCATTATTACGTGTATGGAAAACGGGTGTTTGGTTGTACAGCAATTACTCCGTCACTGTAACCTGTGCTAGCCCTATCGCATGCAAATCATACCAAGGTGTATGTTGTTCCTTTCCCCCCACCCTCCCAGAATGACAGATTGTGGGCTAGATATGTGATTAACAGAGTAGTATGAGGAATTAGAGGTTTTTGTTGGTGGTTGTGTGATATGGATTCCGGAATAAAATCTCCATGACCCTCTCTGTGGTTGGCTGGGGAGATTACAATACTATAGCCGCTAAACGATTTCAGCGGCGTTCGTGCAGTCTGTCTGTCCGAATTGCCCAAGTGAACATTTCCAGGCGTACATAACTTCCGGCTGCACGCGGCAGGCTAACATCGCCTTTGCAGCGACTAAAAATGGTACCAAAATGACCGCAAATACGCCCCGTCGTCTCTCAAAAATAAAAACTTGAGACGCACGGTCGCGTTCTGAGGATTTGGTTAGGCCATCACATCCCATCGATAAGGGGATAACCAGGACTCCGTTATGCTAACCGGTCCCTTCTTCCAAATACGCCTGATAAGATACACTCCAAAATTTGGCTAATACCATTTGCGAATTTACTGGTACGAGATTGTGCTGAGGGCTACCCACAAACTCCGCAACACAGGCAAGAATTGCTCGTTAGAATGAAGGAAACCGAGAGGCGGACACTGACGAGTCAAACAGGGATCCTTTTGATAATACTCATTAAATGTATCGAAGATGATGAAGATATACTCACAGATGTATATACAGATCGAAACTCGTCAACACCTCGTCGAAAACAGAAACGTAGATATTTTTGGTGCAAAAACTGGATGGTGGGGGGCTGTGAAGAAAAAGGGCTTGAGGCCTCGGTTTCTGAATTGTTTGCGCTGCAGTGTTGTTTCTATTCAGTTGGGAACTTGTCTCTTTGCCACATAAGGTCATAGTTATCATACGAAAGTTCTGGGAAAAGTGACTTCTTTAATCCGATTTCCAATGCCACAATGCCAGACGAGCTTGTAATTCTTCGACGAGTGTAGCATATGTTGTGATCCCGAAACCAACAAGCTTAATAGGAGTGGAGGGCATGCACACGTCAGGATTAATTAAAAAATTTTCTCCAGAGGAGTATTTTCGCGATAGCGATAATTGCCCAAACATAATTTGGTCTGTAATGCACACAAGCATCTTAACATCAACTGAAGCCACAGCATAAGTGAAATGTGCATAAAACGCAAAGGGGAGAACAAACGACAATGAGTGAGAGCATGCCACACTGTTTGTTCCATAAATTTGTTTTTAGCCGAGGACAGTGTTGACAAACAGATTGGTGATAAGGAAATAACTTGGAAAACAACTCCTTTGCCGCCGCCCACAATGAATCGAAGATCGGAATCTCGTGTAACGCGTTTATCCGGCCTCCCCATCCCGCCAGTTGCTCACAAAGGACAAGTCATTACTTTTTCGGGACAAACCGTGTAGAGGAGCAAGGGTCCAACACACTCAGGCCACCCATTCTTATCCAGGCTAAAGAAAAACTACCGCGTATTTGCAAGTGGAAAAATATCAGATAATGAGCTAGCGCGATCAGTTCGTTACCAACTGGAACACACAAAAGAAAGCCGGAATGAGGACAATGTCGAGTATGCATTCAAAGAACTAAAGAGCATGTCGGCATAACAATGACACGTACAAAGACCTTTTGTGGCCAAGTCCCAGAGCTACGAACAGCAGCCCAAGGCGAACCAAATATTCGCCTCAGAAAACCGAAACAGTTTTCGGTTAAATTATTTGATTGATAATCCCCAAGCCATGATGTCCAGTACTCGAACTAGCAGACGTTAAATCTGATTTCATGCTGGGACAAAACCAGTTTGGAGATGAGCTAACAAGTGAGCAAAGGCTTGTTCGATGCTTTAAGTACAAGGTGACGGCGGCAGTTGAAGAAATACAGAAAGGAGAATAGAAAAATTAATGGCCAAGTCGGAACCAGGATAATGAAGAAGTTGAACCTCTCCAAAAATTAGCTACGAAATAAGAAGGCCACGGGCATATATCGGCTGGGCACATTGAGATGTCCCCGTATATTTCATCTGATGACTGTATGAAATTCCTAAGAGGGTACGACAGGAATCCTAGTACTCCAACAGAAGAACGCAGTATTCGTTGTGAAAGATGTCCGACTTGTGACGTTAAGGCTTGGACGTTGCACATACATTAACCTAACACGGAATCAGCTTCAGATTTCTCTCGGGGCACATTCGACAATCTTATGTAGGTATTTTGTTAAAAAAATATATCAGGGCGTATTAAGATGTGAAGGGCGTGGTGCACGAACCGTGCTCGAATCCTCAAACCCACATCGATCTACCGGACCACATAAAAAACTCGCCTGCCTCATCGAGAACCCAGTGATGACTGTCTCGTTTATTTCGATGGGATTCAGACCCTCGACAAGCGTTCACTGCTGTTATGATAGTTTGTCGTCCCTAGCTCGTAAATGGGACAAAAATTCTTTGTAAAAATCCGTTCCCATTGTCATACCAAACAGAACCTCCAAACCTTTCTCACTCCTCAAACCGCGAGCCAACAAACTTACAGTCCCAAGCGTGGATTTCGTGTTTTACAACCTGGCTTCGACCTTACCGGTGATTTCGCAGTTGCGTGAGATAAGAAATTCCCCATGTCATCTGTGTTGTTGTCTGACATCAGCAGCGGCTCTCGTTGCAAGACTGAAAGCGGTATAATTTACTTACAAGTGTGTCTGGACGGCCATTGGGTTATCGTTCCGATCAAACAGCTGACAAAATTCTATCACCACTGTACTCATCAGAACGCGCACACAAGTTTCGGTGTGGATAATAGGACTCACGTGCCAGTTCTTAGCAAACATTCCGACTGATACTTCAGTATTCAATAGGCAACTAGTCCGGAGACATAAACATATATTTAATCATTGTTGTCTGGAAGCTCTATTGCACTCCACATCTCCTGACCTCCACAACAGTCAAGACCCATCCTTAGCTGGCTAAGGTTCCAAAATAACTAAAGATGATTTCACTGGTGCATTACTCAAAAAGTACTCCTACGCACAGATTGGTTTCTGCACGAAAAGTAGACCTGGTCAGCGTAGCCCCCATACAACTATAATCTCATGTCGGATCTTACGTGAATCCATCAACAAAGTAACTTCATGAACAAAACAACAAAAGCTCCAGTGGATAAAATCTATTCATTGGAGTGCTATAAAACATGGTGAGTTACAAAAATACCCACAAAAAACATAGAAGAGTGATAGAAAAATAACTAGGTCTACATCTCAAGTGCCAGTAAAAACGAAAGTTCAGATCAGTTCTCATCAGGACAGAGAAATGCCGAGTGTGGAAATCTGGAGTTCAAACAGCGATACCCCATGTCAATCGCATTACATGGTCTGCTTTTTGACGCGTTGGTTTGATGTATCCAAACTGGTGGAGTTGTGCTATCCCGTGGAAGAACCGAGCTCTGAAACGGAGAAGTTGGAGTAAACCAACATGGTTACTTGATAACAGGAACTCGACCTAATCCGGATGTGATATTAGAGGCCTTGATTAATGATAAAAGCAGGGACTCAGTGTGTCACGCTGAAACCAGCTGGCTTCAAATCTGCACATAGTTCAATCTAAATCGGAACGGGACGGCGAGTCAATACAGATGAAGTCTACTCACGACCTAAATGACAAATCACATCCGGCTCCGCCCACGTTCAAACCACAGTCGGTACCATGACCCAGTGCTCATTGCAAATCTCTGCGAAAACGCCGAGGTTATTTGTCATAAGCTCCCAACAAAAGATAGGGTACCTAGAGAATGTCGGTAACCTGAGCTACACGCGCGTTTTCATCCTTACTGATGCTAGTCGGGTGAGCCTGGAAAGGTCAAACACGTGATTCTTTGATTAAGATTCAGGCTGTAAACTCCAGGCCACGTGCCCTCCCGATCCGTTTGTGCAGCTGTCGAATTTGATCTGAGGTGTGATTCTTTGTCTAACCAGCTTTTGACTAATGAGCACAATCCTCAGACCACTGGTAAGAGGTCAGAAACTATCGTCCTATAAATCAACGATCTTCGCGCAGGACCTGATTATTTACCAGTGGTCTACGGATTGCCTGAATAAGTCAACAGTAAGTTGCACCAAGAACTACACCCCAAAAGCAGAGTGAATTCATGAAAAAAGATAGAAAGAGGAACAAGCTATTGGAATCCATAGTCCGAGAATTCAATCACAACGATAAAGGGAATGAGACAGGTTGCTTTACTCCCTCGGTGAAAGATTTCTCGGGATAGATACACAATGGAACTGATCGGTATGACGCAGAAAGACCAGTTCCTGTACCCCATGATATAGAAAACATTGGTACATCTTGTCCGAAGCCTCCGACTTGAAAGTGACAATCAACAACACTTGATCTTATCCACTGAGCACATGACTCGAAGGAACGGTTCTGCAATGAGCACAATCGTGCTGCAATGAACACGACTTAATTGGAGTGACTTACGGAGTGATTAGCTTGCTCATCGCAAGCAATGTATTTTTCTGAAGACAGCTTAGCTTGTTTCTGGCCATGATTCTAACTTCACAGTACGTCCTAACACAATCTCGTGGGAAGTGGATATCAAACCAAGTGCGTTCGAAACGCTCCAACACCACTTTTCTGGCCCGTAAACCACCACGCAAATAGCCGGCTCTTATGCAGTCTATTCCCAAAAGCAAATTACTGTCACGCCGGTGCTACAATTGTCAGAAGTTGATAAAAGCCATCATGGAATATCGAGTCGCTAGGCAATGTCGTATTTCGCCAACCCAAGGGGAAATTATGCAGCTAGTCACATAAACAGCAATTGAAACCACATCGATTATCTCCTGGTTTCCTGAACCAATTTGTGCAGTGGCATGTGGTGCAGCTGGCAGATAAGAAAGCATCCCGAATCAGGTTATGAAAGAAGCTTGCCGTCGATTCTGGCAAGCATACCGGTTGGTGTGTAGTGGGAATTAGATGAGAAATCTGCGATGAACAGACACGATGAGAAGGAATAAAAAGTAGTCGTTGTGACCATATTAAACGAATCTTTAATTGTCATTGGGGACGACAACAGGTGGTTGTAACTCGGTGTCAACGGTGTGCTTGTTGTCAGTTTCTATCCAGATTGCCTGGATTGATGTCTGCGGGTGTAGCCATCTCTGAATGACGGGTGGACTAGTATTAGGTCCTTTCCGAAGCGACGTTTTATTCTTTTCTTCACAATAGGACTTTCAAATAAATTATAGTTAAATGGCAAAACCTTTCAGTGTTGAACACTGACGGTGATAATGATTATGAGGAGGAGGAGGAGAAAGAGGAGAAGGAGAAAAGGGAGGCCATGTTTGGCAGGTCTAAATAGGGCAAACTGGGCAGACACGGATATTTTATGCATGGACCTATCTCAATTCCCTCCCATGAGACGGTCTTCAGCTGCCTAAAATCAGGTCAAGCAATGAACCATTGAATTCCTTCTTTGACATGCTGATTTGGTGAAACAGTTGGACCCAGACAGCCGACGGCAGTAACCTGGCCAACTGCCTTGCCTCCTCCTTGAGGGCTGGACGAGGTTAGTCCTGATAGAGAACTTGGTCTTCGGAGTTAGAGGATTAAGTAAATATTGGAGTTGGTACAAGTCCTCATCCACAGGACGAATTCCATCCAGATTCGAGAACCCACCTAACGGCTGTTCAACTGGACATCGAAGGAAAGCTGAATCACAATGAAGACTGTGAACAGAATTTTCGCACGTCTGACGTGGTGTCGAAGTGAGCGGTTCTTTCGTCGTACATCGGGAAGTGACTTTCTGATGATAAATACCGAACTCTAATTAGGAGATTCGCGGATAAATTGCCCAGAATGTCTCAAAGTGAACGGAACTAAATATATGGCAAAATTTAGAGAAACTGCTGCGGGAGAGTGGTCGAATTGGGACCGATGCCCCTACGCTTGTCGTTCGAAGTTCATGTGAATCACAGAGCTCCTCCCAAGACGAAAACCTTGGTTTTCTCCCGTGGATTCATTGTGCCTGGAAAACAAACTTTGAGAAAGAAAGCATACAGGCACTTTGGCTGCGATATCAATACGGCTGATCCCGATTGGATCGTGACTGACCCTTTTAGGACTTTTAGGAGCTCGACTCCAAAGTGGGGGTGCACCGACCTTGCGGAACAGATCCGGTTCCCCAGATTGAACAAAACAGGTTTCCGAGTGGTCTGAACAGTGCTTACCAACTAAGGAGAACAAAAACAGCCCCTGGAAAAATACCCCAACACCAACAATAAAACGGGAAACGTGGACAAAGAACAAATTAGTCTTCACAGTGAGAAACGGAAATTCCAAGACTGTCAACAAGTCTGTGTTCATGAAATCAATAAGCGGATGAGACAGGAATCGAAGCTTACCACCCTAATCCAGAGTATGAAGATAACACACGCACAATCGCGGTCTTATGGCATGAGGCCACCGACTAGAGCGGTGGGGATTGGAAAACTGAATGATGATGAATCTTCACCTAGTCACGGAAAATAGCCGAGTGAGTGTGAAATGAATCAGCCATTCTTCCGCCCACTGAGAAACGATGCGACTGTCACGCCCGCGGCGTGTAATTAAGTCACCACGATGACCGAATGGATTAACGAAGTGGCGGATAAAAAACGCACATAATGATGAGGAAACAAATATTCGATAAGAACATTAGGGCGCAGAAAATGTCACTGGTTAGACGGTTCGACACCCCACTTCAGCGGTGGTAAAGGCGAGTGTACACACTAACACGAGAAGGTCTTGCCAATTTCAGATGAGGATAACGACCGAACTAGGCCCGGTTTATGATTCTTCTGCCTCGTCCAGCTTATCGATACAATCCCTGTGGGTTATCCAACAAGGAGTTTATCACAGGAAACGGTCCAATAATCGCCATCCTAAGTCAACTATACGAGTAGACCATGCGAACAGAACAATTTTGACATAGCGACACGGAATACCAGATAGATCCAGATTCAAATGTCATCAGAAAGCCTGTACTCGGGAAAGTTGAAGCTGGGCCTGAAGTTGGACTTGTTCAACACCCAACATTCTAACATAACCGTATTCACACCACCAATGTTCAAATGAGCCTGGCTCCTACAACGACAATTCACTAAATGTGCATCTGGCATACTACTATTGTCGGAACTTGTAAATGTAACGGATGTTTTTTGAACGCCTGTGGCTTGCACAACACCGGAAGTTAAGGGCTCTTGGAAGACCCATGCGCTGGTAAAAACTTATGTATATTGTGCCATCGGCTAACGGAATTGGAACAGGAAAAGTTTTGTTCGCTGTAAGACGTCAAATAATCCGGTAGCAGACTAACGGCAATGTGAACCTAACCTACTACTACAAAAGCATACTTTCTCCATATTCTTCAAATGCAAGAGAAATGGAGCACTTACTGTGTAGCTTTTGCAGGTGGATGCTCTCTGTCAACTTCCTCTCCAAGCACGGTTGCGAAAGCCTTGAAGAGAATAAAAAGAGAGGTTAGGTTGTCGGAATAACCAGCTACTTGTTACGTGAAAGTAGTTGAAAAATAGCGTCAGTAGCAGGTGCGAAAGCCAGAGATGAGCACACTGGCCGCATCGAGCGATTCAAGCCGGCTTGCACATTAATGCCTGTTGGCATTAATGTCTCAGCTGACGGTTTGTCCATGAACAGTGCAGCGGTTACACTACCTGATCCTTATCGTCAAGGGCGCACGCCGGTGACGTAGCCGAACAAACAGACACTGTTTTGCGGCTGTTCATCATTCATTTTAACAAGTCAACACCGATCACCCTTAGTTCAATGCTATTTCCAGTCGGAAAGTTAACTTGTGAGTAAGCGGCCGGGGTTTCAAACAATCATTTGGCCATGCTCGTTGGAACATGCAGAGTGGAAACCGCCGCCCGACAGAACGCGTTGGTGGCGTAGGTAGCACGTGAGATTCCAGAGCGGTTGTTCGTCATCGGAGGAACTATATACACGGGCCACAATGATTATGCCTTCATTAACAACAAATGGTGATGTCGTGAATCAACAAAAATCAGCCGATTAGTTAAAAATTTGAATCGGCACACATCCAGTAAGGATGGTCCAAACGACCAAGAGTGAGCGACAAAGACGCCAGTACGATACATCTGCCTGGTCATATTGATCGTTAATTGCTTCAGTAAGATTATCATCCATGTCCATAAGTGTCAAAGTGAATCGTATGTGCCATGAGGATACTTCTCCAAGTACTTTTGCGAATAGTCTACAGGGAATGTCCATTCTGTCTGCGGCGGTTGTACGGAACTTACCATGAGCCAGTCATAGAGATTGATCATCTTTGTCGACTCCAGATGAAGCTTATAGAGGATGCACAAGTCCGGTAGAGCTGGACTGAGACTGTCTGGTGAATCGAGCTGGAACTGTGAAATCTGTAAAGAGTGGAACAAGAAAAAAATAAAACATGTGTGAAGCGAGCGAGCGAGCGAATGCGACAGAGTTGCCGCTGTATAGAGAAGACGAATGATGTATCTGTGATCCTAACAATATCCACGATAAAGATTCGTTCAATGGGCCTACTAGGATACCAACGAGTGTAAATCAGGGGTATGCACAAAAGGTAAAGGTAATCCATAAATGAATGCCATTGCTCGCTCAGCTTGGAGTCAATGGTACCGAAGGCTTAGCCATCGAATGACGATAACCGGTCAACTTACTGACTGATGACACCCGATTTGGACCTCATCGATTCCTCGTTAGGAAACGCTCATTGGAACAACATCGCATGATTCCACTACAAACGCATAGGTTAGTTGAGGATTTCAGTAGGAAGCGCGAAAATATGCTCCGAAGCATAATAAAAATACGGAACCGTTTGCTCCATCGAATAAAAAAGAGGAGTGGGTGTTCCACCACTGGAATCAGTGATAAGGAGGGTTGTACAGACTGATGGGCGATAGCACTCTCAAGTTCACCTCGAACTAACTGGTTCGGTGTTTCGTCTTGGAGAACCTTGGCAGAGCACCACTGATGAATAAGTATAGAGTCCGCCACTGGGTGGAGATCAGTGCACTGTCCCTGTTTCATACATGAAGGCAACTCATTGACCAACGTACGATGGCGCGCGATTCATGGACCGATATTACGCCGAAGAGCATTACTCTGTTTTGCGTAGTAAGAGCTTTTTCGCGGTGTCATAATGCCTGTAGACCCCAACGTTGCGAAACTGCTGACACCGTCGATTCCACAGCGCAGACTGATCACTGGGGTTCCAAGTGAACCCGTTCAGGTTGGTTTTCTTTTTCAATGGAAGTATATAACAGTAGTTGTGTAAAAAATGACGGTGAAGGATCCCCGGGTCCACACCCATGAAGACGGCAGTTGCCAACGTGACTGATTCGACTAGAGGAGTTTTCACGCTGGCCATGGATTGACTGCCCCTGCACTGTCCCCACTCGACACATGGCTGGCTTACGAAGTACATGACCTAATCTGTGTAACTTACGGACTGCAACCAATAGGTATATCCCAGAGTACCTCAGTGTTACTGATCTTGTGGTCCCTCCGATCTGAGCAATCCTTCGGGGACGACGACGGTCAAACACTGTTGTCGATTATCTACCCAGAGACTACATCCCTAATTCATAAATTAGAGTGCATCGCACCGTGGCAATGTAAACCTTACCTTTCACAGCCAAACTGACGTCACCTCAGCGCTAGGAATGTCAAAAGTTGGTAAATGCTGCCCTGAACTTCCCAACTCACAAAATGATTTCACCTTTCATTAGAACCTAGGCAGACGCCCAGAATTCTGTCCATCCAGGCAAGGCTCTAACCCAGTGTGTAATGCGATAAGTACTGTCGTAAAGTAATCACATATCCTTTGAGGGACATTAGTCTGCTCTGCTAAAGTGTTATGGCGAATAAATTATAGATTGATTCCAGCAATCTGTTGAACCACGTCGAGTCACGCGCAAAACCCCAAAAGCCAATTCTTTCTAATGGAGGTTTATCTACAAACGACACGTCCGATGACAAGGTCAAAGAACGGTTTATGTTCAGGTCAAAAACAACAAGGGTGGTATGGGCACAGACCAAAATAACAAAAAAGGGGGAATCGCGTTGTACAATATAAAAGGTAGGAGAAAGGAATCAACACCGCCCCCCAAAGCCAGCATGGCTTTCCCTAATCTACCAGCTCAACCCACCGCATGCAAGAAAGAGACCAACGAGAATGGTACAATTGCTCTAGCCACAAACGCTTTCCTCAATCTGCAGCATGCTCCTAGGGTGGTGAGCAACTAGCTGTCTTTTACCCATTCCAGCAGGCAGGTATTTGTATGGCTTGTATTGCAAAAGAATGAAGTCTTATGCATGATAACTGAGTAATTTTAAATGTATTCATCGTGAAGTATAAGGACGCAACAAGGGTGCTTCTACCAAGAGTTTGTCCCCCCTGCAGCTGAGCATTGACAGAGAACGTGTCAACCGTTCGTGGCACATCATATGAACGTGAAAACTCTTTGATGAAGGTGCTACTCGAATTGTCAGTTTTGTCCATAGTCTTCCCTTTACCGGATACCACGACGCGGTTTGCGTCCATTCGTACGCACAAGTCGTCCGCAGTGAATTCCGGGTCGGCTGGGATCTCCACATGCAACCTTTCGCCTCCAGACTTGTCGTCCTTTAGAACAGTCGGTCTGAGAACACCAGTTGGTTGGTTTGCTAATGCATCTTCGGATTTTCGCTTTTGTCCAACCTCAGTCTCGGAGTGTGGTTTGATGCTTAACTGGCGATCACGGTCGAAAGTTATCGACTTTTAGTCTGCCGTCTTCAGTAGAGCTTCAAGCATTAACACACCGTCCTCAGTAAGATTGCACTTCAGTTGATTCTCGTCAACCCACTTGGGTATGTAAATTATTCAGGAGTACTCTCGACTGCTTAAAGCCCGATCGGTTTGGACAAATGTTTTCGCGTGTACGGTCAGACCATTGTCAGATGTGGACACTTCGATACCGTCCGGCCCATAGCCCTGTAGACCGAACGGAACATTGAAGTGTACTCGGTCATCTTCACCAAGTTGATAGGCGTCTTTGAGGAAATCAAGCGAGCTGCTACTGGTCCGTAGAACCAGCGATCCCAACTTTTCTCCTTCTGTTGGTGCAGCCTGATTGGTCTCTTGTTCCATGTGTTGAGCCAATGCATGCAGTTGATGGTCCATTCGATTGATTACAGAGTGCACATCGCCAGAAGGTTCGAAGAAATCACTTGGACTGACTCCAAATAGGTCCATGGGCACTAGGGAGGACATTTCTTCCCAAAGGCGCTTCATTTCGGCGTTCCAACGGTCTTGAGTT